GCAAGGTTCCGTCCCAATGGAAAACCAGCAGGACCGTACTACTGTTCAAGAAGGGAGACATCCATGACATTGGCAACTATCGCCCGATCTGCCTTTTCTCTGTCATCTACAAGTTGTTCACTCGAGTCATCCTAAATAGGATTGGCAGAACACTAGATGAAGGACAACCATGCGAGCAAGCAGGGTTCCGCAAAGGATTCAGCACCATCGACCATATCCACACGATAACCAAGCTCATTGAGGTTTCTCGGGAGTTCAAGATGCCGCTCTGCTTAACGTTCATTGATTTAAAGAAGGCCTTTGATTCTGTTGAGACGGAAGTGGTCATTGAAGCCCTAGCCAATCAGGGCATTCAAGTCCAATACATCAGGATCCTCCGTGAGCTGTATTGCGGATTCACTACCAGGATCTCACCATTCTACAAAGAAGTGATCGTTGATGTCAAGAGAGGGGTGCGGCAGGGTGATACCATTTCACCGAAACTCTTCAGTGCCACCCTCGAGAACATCATGCGACGACTGGAATGGGAAGGAATGGGAGTGAAGATAGATGGTCGGCAACTACACCACCTCCGCTTTGCTGATGACATTGTTTTAATAACACCAAACATCAGCCAAGCGGCACAAATGCTGGCCGACTTTGACCGTGAGTGTGGAAAGGTAGGACTACAGCTGAATCTTACGAAGACAATGTTTATGAGAAACAGCCTTGTTCCTGACGCCCCATTCGCTCTCAATGGAACGACCATCTCCGAATGCAACAGCTATGTGTACCTAGGTCGAGAGGTCAACATGACAAATGACCTGGCACCCGAGCTGTGCAGGAGGAAGAGAGCGGCTTGGAACGCCTTCAAGAACGTCGAAGAAATAGCTAAGAGGACGAAGAACCTCCGGCTCCGGGCACATCTCTTTGATTCCACTGTTCTTCCTGCATTAACATATGCCTCAGAGACCTGGGCCCTACGCAAACAAGATGAGAACACTATTCAGGTCTCCCAAAGAAGAATAGAAAGAGCTATGCTTGGAATATCACGTTTCACTCAAATGAGAGAACGAATCTGGAGTTCTGACATCCGTCGACGATCAAGGATCAGGGATGCTGTCTCATATGCTAAGGTGTCGAAAATCAGATGGGCTGGTCACGTAATGAGATTTAAAGACAACCGTTGGACTAGAGCTGTTACTGATTGGATTTCACGGGATGTCAAAAGACCGCGTGGCCGCCCACCTACCAGATGGTCAGACTTCTTTGTCAAGATCATGAACGATCGGTTTGAGGCCCTTCATGTTCCTGGAGCGAACAGATGCCATTGGGCTACACTAGCATGCGACAGGGACAAATGGAGACGTTACTGGTGCCCGCTCGAGCATATCGACGACTAACAGGAAGTTAAGTGATTAAGTGAAAAAGTTACAGAGCCAAAGAGATAATACAGGGATTAAAGCACTGGCATAGACTGACTGCATTTTAATCCCTAGCACCTACATACTGTTCTCTGAGCACTACCAAGAGTGACCTATGAGCACAGAGCCAGGAGTAGCCCCATAGCACTGCTAGGTATAGCCCAAACAGGGAAAAAAATATTAACTTAAAATAATGATGTGACAATGATGAATGAGAAAAAAATCGTTTATTTATTTTTTTGTGATACCAAAGATCAAACCCAAACCTTCATAAATGCAAGGCACATGCTCTACCCCTGAGCTACATTTCGCCTCTTCCGTCCCAAATCTATTTAACCTAAATGTAAAAACAATGGATATCTGCTCAGATTCTGAAAGATGTTATTCAATATCTTTACTGCTGTGCCTTTCTACCTTTTAGCATCATTGATTCCAAAAGTAATTGCTCAATAAACAGCTGTGATATGATGTAATGTAGTCCTAAAGGGGAAAATAAGAACACCCAGACCCACCATTAGTCCCCTTTACCTATCACAGGCCAACTCAAGTCCTTCAAAACTCAGCAGAGACAAAAGCTCACTTGAAGAACATAGGGCACTGCTCTTCCTTCCCATTCACTGAAAAGCACAACTTGATCTTTTTTTTTTCCCTTTATTTTATTTTATTTTTTTTTTACAGTTGTAAATTTACAATTTTTTGTGCTTTGGTTTCAATTATACAATGATCAGATACCCATCCCTCCACCAGTGCCCATTTTCCACCACCATGGATAATATCCCTCCCACCCCCATCCCCCCATCCCCCCTGTCTCTGTGGCAGGGCAATCCCCTGTGTTCTCTCTCTCCTTTTGGGTGTTGTGGTCTGCAAAAGAGGCATTGAGTGGCAAACATGTTCAGTCCATAGTCTACTTTCGACATGCATCTCCCCTCCTGGGAGGATCCTCCAAACATCCTTTATTTGGTGCTCCCTTCTCTATCTGAACTGCCCTTTCCTCTAGGATACCCGGCTGGAATCAACCTCCCGAAGTTCAACCTCCCGAACTTCAAACTGTACTACAAAGCAGTAATAATTAAAACAGCATGGTACTGGAACAAAGGCAGAACTGCAGACCAATGGAACAGGGTTGAATACACTGACATCTCCCCTCAATCATATGCTCATCTAATCTTTGATAAAGGTGCAAGTAATGTGAAGTGGAGTAAGGAAAGCTTCTTTAATAAATTGTGTTGGCATCACTGGACGGCTACATGCAAAAAAAATAGGCTCAGAACTCTGCCTAACACCATGTACAAAAGTAAGATCAAAATGGATTAAAGACCTCAACATCAGACCAGAAACCATAAGGTACATTGAAGATAAAGTTGGCAAAACCCTCCATGACATTGAAGCTAATGGTATCTTCAAAGATGCCACGCCACTGGCCGAGCAAGTGAAAACAGAGATAGATAAATGGGACTATCTTAAACTAAGAAGTTTCTGCACCTCCAAAGAAACAGTGACCAAAATACAAAGACAGTCTACAGAATGGGAAAGGATATTCGCCAAATACACATCTGACAAGGGGTTGATATCCAGGATATACAAAATACTGGTTAAACTCCACAAGAAGAAAACATCCAACCCCATCCAAAAATGGGGCAATGAAATGAACAACTTGATCTTTTCAGGTATTCCTTTCAGCAGGACATGGAAGAAATCCGACTCCACTATTAAGTGTGCTCACACCAGCCGTCTTTGGAGGTGGGTAAAGGTAAAGGTAAAGGCCCTCCCGTTGATCATCGATTTGCTCGAGCGGGCCCAGTAACGTCTCCATTGGAGACTTTGTTGTTACTGTGTTTGGCATATCCCGTACGGGTGAGATACTCTCGGTAGCTTGCCGGGCTCTCCGAGAGGGGCGGAGGAATCGAACTCGGGTCGGCCATGTTGCCTGCGTGCAAGGCAAACGCCCTACCGCTGTGCTAACACCCAAGAATAGTAGAGATAAGGACCAGGAGGTTTATTCCACGGCTTGGAAGCCAGTCTCAAATGCCGGGGGAAAAGGCAGCTCGGATAGAGAAGAGAACACCAAGTAAAAGGTGTTTGGAGGACCAGCTCATGTTGGGAGATGCCTGCGAATGTAAACTATAGATCGAACACAATGACCACTCAATGCCTCTAGTGCAAACTACAACACCCAAAAGGAAAGAGAGAATAAAAGGGAATGCCCTGCCACAGAAGCAGGGTGGGGTGGAGGGGATGGGGTGGGGGTAGTGGGAAGCATGCTGGGACCACTGGTGGTGGAGAATGGGCACTGGTGGAGGGATGGGTACTCGATCATTGTATGACTGAAACGCAAGCACGAAAGTTTGTAAGTCTGTAATTGTACCCCATGGTGGTTCACTAATAAAAAACCTTTTTAAAAATTGTCCCTTGAACTAGGCTGCTGTTTTTTCTTTTTTTATTCTGTTTGGGGACCACACCCAGTGGGGCTCAGGGGCTTACTCCTTGCTCTGGATTCAGGGATCATTCCTGGTGGGGCTCATGGATCATACAAGGTGCTGGAGATTGAAACCAAGTCAGCCACATGCAAGGTAAGCACCTTACCTGCTGTAATATCGCTCTAGCCCCCTTGAAAAAGTTTTAACTCCTTTGATTCCTTTACTTAGTAATGAATTTAATAAAATCTTTCACACATACTCATTTTTTTTATCTCTAAATCAGTGCTCAGGGATACTCCAGTGGATACTCCAAACAATATTTCACCACCCAGGCCCGGCAATTCAACACTGGGTAACTACATCTTGAACCTTACAATGCTACGGGGGGTGCTCCAGATCCCCCCAAGGAGTGTTAGAGGTCAGGGGGAGGCATGTGGTATCAGGATTCAAACTCTGCCCTAGCACAAACAAGGCATGGACTCCACACTGTTGAGCTATATCCCTGGTCCCACATGGTTGTTTTTTTTTATCTGAATGAAATCATGGTCTTACGTTTCAAAATCCTCTTAGAAAGTCCCAATAAGATGTTTGAGCTAACAACTCATCATGTTTAAATGCCCTTCTGTGATGTTAGGCCCATTGAACAATCCTGTCGTCATTCCCCTCCATACCACTTCTCTCATGTGTTCATCACAATCCTCAGCAGGTTAAGCGCACTGAACACTACCTGGTGACACGCTCACAAACAGTAACCCAACTGACCCCCTCTAACAGAAGTGGTGCATTATAACTGACCACTTTTCTCTTCTTCTTTCCTCCTTGCCTTAAGGAAACCCACTTGTTACAGGTAGAGAATGTCCAAAGTTGCCTAAAAGTCTGTTTCAAAACTTTAGGCAACAAGTGAACTGAAACTGTTGAATTTGTTGCTTGGAAATAATGTTTGGCCCTTGATAAAACAAATGTGATCACCACTACAAGAATTCAATACAACAATCATTCTGAGTGCTTCTGAAGTGATATAAAATGATGCATATTTAGCCACAAAAAAAAAAAAGAGAAGAAAAGTAAGCAAATTATACCTTGGAAAAGTAAGCAAATTATACCTTGCAGAATAGTCACCTTGACCTATTTTTCCATATACATACAATCTCAGCAGGTTGTGAAGGTAAAGCACAATTACCTGAGTAAACCGTGCCCTGTGAAGCCAGGACCAATGTTATAGGCCACATTCAAACCTCCCTTCCAGCTCTCATCAGGTGGGGGAGATCCACCCATGTGGCTGCAAGACAAGTAAAAATAACAGGAAAAGACTGAGTAGAAGAAATTATAATGCTTAACAAAGAGACATTAAAGAATATGCATTGAGAGCTAGAGTGATGGTACAGTGCAGAGGGCATTTGCCTGGTATCCCCAGCATCCCACATGGTCTCCTAAGCACCACCAGGAATGATTCCTGAGTGCAGAGCCAGGAGTAATCCCTGAGCATTGCTAGGTGTGGCCCAAAAACATAAAACAAAGAACATGCAGAGTTTTTTTTACTATTATTAAATATTTTATAAGGCATCATCTATCTCTCATAACACAAGAAACTATTTCTATCCTCGTTTATAGGGAAAGAAACTAACTCGGAAAAAAATTAAGCAATCAGTCCAAGTTTACACATCTAATAAGTGATGGCCATTATCAGATTACCTATATGATAATATTGGTTTGTCCTTTCTGCCTTTCCACAGGGAGCTTAGGTTTGTTGGGTTACTCCCATCACATCCCATCTGTGTTTACTTGTAATCTCTTTCTTTGTGCTGTATTTCCCCAACTGGTCAATTACCTTTATCTCCTAAACAGACCTGTTAACTTGTAAATACTGTTTTTCTTTTCTCCTTAAATCCTTTGTAAAGTTAATTCAGAGCAATATTCTTTTTGTATAGACCCAGGAAGACAGTTAATGCTATGCTTTTGTAACCTGGGAGTTAATTGACTCCGAATGATATTCACTCCTGGGCATCTGTTCTCTCGACTTAAGCCTCAGTTGTCCTTAGTTCCTAGCACCCCAAAAGCAGGGTCCCAATGAGGGACTGGATGGACTGAAGGCAAGCTATGAGCTACCCTGGCATTGAAATGGGCCAGGTCAAGCGCCATAATACTTAACTATAAGTTAAGAGCACTGTCATGGACAAATTCTGTCATGATCCAAAAAAGTAATAACTAGATTCAGACCCTGCTAGGGTTAGGAAAAATTAATCTGGCCCGAGTACTGTAGTCAGAGATCTATAGTGAGATGTCCCCAGGAGAACCACCATACAAGCTCAATGTATCTCTTACTGTGTCTATACAAAATAACAAATATTAAGAAGTAGAATTAAGATGTTAATTAAGATGTTAATTAAGTTATTGGACTAAAAGGAAAGGAGAAAAACCCCTAGGTGGTATTTCTGTCCTTGAGCCTTGATCTGAGATCAGGAAGGGCTTTGATATGCTGATTGTGCTACCACCAAAGGTGGGGGGGGGGGGTTGTTAATTGGAGAGAGACTAAAGAGACCAGGGAAGCAAGTAGAGGGCATTTGCAAGATGAGCGGGAGAGACAGGCGGAGACAATAAGGGGCACTGTGAGACTAGAATCGGGAGCTTAGTGAGACTGGAACAGCCGTGTGGGGAGAATGGAATAAATGGCAACTGATCATCAACCAGCCTGGAGGCCTCGCTTCCTCCTTCATCTGCCCATGACATTGGCCATCCTGGGTGGAAGAAGCGGCCTGAGACTACCTACCGCAGGCAGCAAGAGGAAGAGCCCCCAGGGCTTTCCTAGCCACCTGGAGATTATGTAATTACCTATTTACATTCTTTTTCAAAGGGGAAGTGCTCCAGGGGAAGTGCTCTCCTGCTAAGTCACAGCTCCAGGCCCACAATACTGGGGAAGTACTCTCACCTGAGCCACAGGCCTGGGACCACACTCCAGGGGAAGTGCTCTCCCACTGAATCACAGCACTGACCCAATAAGACATGAAATATTTAAGAAAGCCCCAACTCCAAAAATCAGTATTTGTATCTTTGGTCATAATTTTCTATTGAACCTTCACTTGTACTAAACAAAATAATCTTTTCTTATTATTTCTTTGTCAATGAACTCTTCTTACTATTTCTTCTTCCAAGATCTATTTTTATACAAGACTTTACTTTTTGGGACTGGAGAGATAGCACAGTGGGTACGGCATTGCCTTGCACGCGGTCGACCCGGGTTCTATCCCCAAAAGAAAAAGAAAAATCTCATATGGTTCCCGGAGCACTGTCAGGAGTAATTCCTGAGTGCAGAGCCAGGAGTATCCCCTGTGCATCACCGGGTGTGACCCCCCTCCCAAAAAAAAAAAAAAAAGACTTTACTTTTAAAAATTTATTATAGTTTAGGTAACATGGTTAAACTTATCTATAAGCCTTTCATAGTCTTGAAATGTAATTTCCCATTATATTAAAGACTTTAATACAATATATTAAAGACTTTAATATATTGTTGTTTTTGTTTTGGAGTCACACCCTGGAAGTACTATCTATACTATCTCTCCTGTCCCTGAAGACTTTAAATTTAATATAACTAAATTATTTACACTTTAGATAAACTAATTTAGAAAATGACACAGTACAGAAATCTTAATTCATAAACAATGGGAAAATTATACCGTAATAATATTTCTGCATCATTATATCCAATGGGATGTACAGGGATTTGTGGGATCCCCACTCCTTCTTCTACATCAAGTCGAAAGGTGTACTCTGCAAAAGACAAATGCATGACATGAAATGTGTGTATCTGAGCAAGAGGTTATAAAGAAGTTTCTTTTATTACTATTGTACATTTGCAATATTTAAAATTATATTCAAAATTTAAAATTTAAAAAAAGTTTGGGCCGGAGCGATGTACAGTGGGTATGGTGTCTGCCTTGCACACTGAGGACCTAGATTCAATTCCCGGTACCCCAGATGATCCCCCAAGCCCAGCAGGATTGATCCCTAAGCATAGAGGTAGGAGTAGGCCCTGAGAATCCCAACCAAGTGTGACCTGAAAACAAAAATTCAAAAATTTTCACAAAGTCAATAACTAGTAAGGCCAGAGCGATAGTGCAGGGAGGGTGCTTAGGCTTACCAGCATCCCATATCGTCCCCCTGAGAATCACCAGGTGTGACCCAAAAAACAAAAACAAAAACAACATATTACTTATAGTGGCCTGCAATTAAGAAATGGGAAATTACATTTTAAGACTATGAAAGGCTTATAGATAAGTGTGGGAAAGATCTACACGGTATGTTCTGTGAAACACTGAGAGTACTTAATTGTAAGGTTGATGCAGGCAGGCAGATAGGGAAGGCCCTTCCCAAGGCAGTGGCAGTTAATCTCCTGGGAAGTACTAGCCCTGACCTCATTGAGAACTGGTGCCAGTCTGTAGCTGACCCTGAGGAGTCTGGACCAACCCCCTCCAACAGAAGCTCCTGAAGAAACAAAAGTCAGGAAAGGAATTTCAAAGAAAACCCCTTACCACTCCCAACCCCCTTGGTAACCTCCCTAGCAATGGACTTTGACCTAGGTAGAAGCTTCACATGGGTGCAGGTTGGAGAACCCTATAAAGGCCATCTTGAACAAAGGAAGCACATGCATATGCTGCCTGAGCCCATGTGCTGCCTATGCCCATGTGGCCGAGCACATGTGGTACCTGAGCACATCTGTCACCTGCAATTCCCCTCTTGAGATGTGTACTTTCATGTTTTCAAGTCTAATGCTGGAATGTGTGAAGGGGCTCTCTCCACCCTTGGAGAAGCTGGGTTCTCTCTTGAGCGCATTACTCTCCACTTCCTCCCACTTTATCTCCATCCTTCCCTTCAACCCCTCCAAATAAAAATTGTGTAATTTCACTGCTTGTCTACTCCTGAAATTCCTTTCTGAGAGGTGAGACAAGAATCCAGTAACCCTGGGTCCCAGGTGGCAGAGGCAGATGGGGAGAAAGTGACTGTCTTTCTCCTCCCCACTTCACATAAGTCACCCATGGAGCCCACTGACATCAATAGTAGGGAATGATAAGGTGCTTCTAAAATTCACATCAAACGGACGTAGAATAGCCACAAAAACCTTGAAAAGAAATTGTAACTTGAAAGACTTACAAGTCTATTGGAATAAAAAACTTAAAAGGACAGGCACACAAAGTATAAGCAACAATCAGCAAAGGGAATACTCCTATCTCTCCCAGAACATAAAACAGTACAGAAGGAGTCAGAGCAACATTACAGCAGGGCGGAAGTTTGTTTGCCTTGCATGCAGCAACCGAGGTTTGATTCCCCAGCACTCTATATGGTCCCCCAAGTCCCACAAGAGTGATCTAAGAACAGTCAAGAGTAAGCCCTAAGTACTACAGGGTGTGACAAATAAAATAAATAAATAAATATTAGAAAGCTTTAGAAAATTATTTGAAGTTCTCTTGTAATACATCAAATACATTTTCCAGCCATTCTAGTTTTATATAGAAAAATAAGAGAAAAATAAGAAAGCATATAAAGACTAGACTAAAACTGTTAGAGGCAGTTTTATGTGTAAGGGCCTTCAAAATGAAAACAATCCAAATGTCCATCAAGAAGTACATTAACCAACAAAATATAGCATACTTATTTAATGGAATACTATTCAGTATTAAAAAAATGAACTAGGTAATTGCAGACATCAGAGTGAATGAATCTCAAATAAATGATTCTGACACCAAACACATTACAATCACATATTTTATTTATTTATTTATTTATTTATTTATTTTTTCTTTTTGGGTCACACCTGGCAATGCACAGGGTTAATCCTGGCTCATGCACTCAGGAATTACTCCTGGCAGTGCTCGGGGTACCACATGGGATGCTGGGAATCGAACCTGGGTCCGTTGCATGCAAGGCAAACACCCTACCTGTTGTGCCATTGTTCCAGCCCCAACAATCACATATTTTAGAATATGTATGGCCTGGAGAAGAACAAAATCATTGGGAAAGTCAGGAAGACTAAGTTCTAGTTCTACAAAAGTAGGTTCCTTCAGTAATGAGAATATGTACTTCTGGGACAAGAATGACAGTACTGGGGCCAGAGCGATAGTACAGTGGGTAGGGTGTTTGCCTTGCATGCAGCCAATCCAGATTCAAACCCCGGTGTAGGATAACATTGGTTTGTCTTTTCTGCCTTGCCACAGGGAGCTTAGGTTTATTGGGTTACTCTCATCACAGTGCCCCCATTCCTCTGTGTTTATTTGTAACTTCTTTCTTTGTGCTCTGCTAACTTGTAAATATTGTTTTTCTCTTCTCCTTAAATCCTTTGTATAGTTAATTCAGAGCAATGTCCTTTTTTTTATGAACACAAGAAGACAGTTAATGCTACGCTTTTGTAACTTGGGAGTTAATGACTCTGAATGATATTTACCTCCTGCTTTAAACGTCAGTTGCCCTTACTTCCTAGCACCCCAAAAGCAGGGTCCCGACGAGGGACTGGATAGACCCAGGGCAAGCAGTGAGCTATGTGCTACCCTGGCATCTAAATGGGCCTGGCCAAAGTGCCATAATGCTTAACTATAAGGTGAGAGCATGGTCATGGACAAATGCTGTCATGATCCAAAAAACAATAGCTAGATTCGAATCCTGCTAGGGTTAGGAAAGATTTTTTTTTTTTGCATCATACCCTGTGATGCTCAGGGGTTATTTCTGACTCTGCACTCAGGAATTACTCCAGGCAGTGCTCAGGGGACCATAAGGGATGCTGGGAATCGAAACAGGGTCAGCTTCCAGCAAGGCAAACACCCTACCCACTGTACTACTGCTCCAGCCCCAAGGGTTAGGAAAGATTTATCTGAGCACTGTAGTCTGAGATCTACAGTAAGATGTCCCCAGGAGAACCACCTTACTAGCTCAATGTATCTCTTACTGTGTCCATACAAAATAATATTAAGAAGTAGAATTAAGATGTTAATTAAGTTATTGGACTAAGGAGAAGAGGAACACCCCTATGTGGTGTTTCTGCCCTTGAGCCTAATGGGCCATCAGGAAGGGCTTTCTTATGTTGATTTTGCTACCAGACTGGGTGAACCATCTGCCCCCAGTGCTGGGAGAAGATAAATGAGGGAGGGAGAGAAATGAGAGAGTTGGAGGAGTGGGGAGAGAGAGCAGGCAGCAAGACGGAGCACAGAGAGATGAGTGAGAGAGATAGGAGAAGACAGGAATGAGGGGCAGTGTGAGAATAGAATGGGGAGCTCAGAGAGACTGGAACAGGTGTGTGGAGAGAGTCAGAATCTGGGGATCTGGAGGGCTGGAGCGATAGCACAGCGGGTAGGGCGTTTGCCTTGCAAGCAGCCAACCTGGTTTCAATTCCCAGCATCCCATATGATCCCCTGAGCACTGCCAGGGGTAATTCCTGAGTGCAAAGCCAGGAGTAACCCCTGAGCATCACCTGGTGTGACCCAAAAAGAGAAAGAAAAAAAGAATCTGGGGATCTGGGATCTAGGAATGAAGGGATAGGAAGGAAGAGTGTGAGATGGGAGAGACGAGAGATTGAAAAAACAGCAACTAATCAGCAACTGGCTTGGTCCTCGTTTCCTCCTCCATCTGCCCCATGGCATGGACTTCCCTGGCTGGGGAAGCGGCCCAAGGTGCCCCGAACACGGGCAGTGAGGGAAGAGCCTTCATGGGCTTCCCTGGCTGCCCTGGGAGATTATACACCCTGGCATCCCATATGGTCCCCAAAGCACCACCACGAGTAATTCCTGAGCGCAGAACCACGAGTAACCCCTGAACATTGCTGGGTGTGAACCCCTCCAAAAAAAGCAAAAAAAAGAACTATAGTATAGTGGGTAGGGAGCTTGCTTTGCACGAAGCTGACTCAATTCAATCCAGAGCATCCCATATAGACCTCCAAACACAGCCAGGAGTGATTTCTGAGTGCAGAGCCAGGAGTAAATCCTGATCATCACTGGTTGTGGCCAAAAACAAAAATAAAAGAATATGTATTTCCAAGACATTAGTAGAATTGCGCACACACACACATACACACACACACACACACACACACACAAACCCTCCAACCCCATCAAAAACTGAGGAGAAGAAATGAACAGAAGCTTCCTCAAAAAAGAAATACAAATGCCAAAAGGCACATAAAAAATGCTCTACATTGCTAATCATCAGGGAGATGCAAATCAAAACAATAATGAGATATCATCTCACACCACAGAGACTGGCACACATCCAAAAGAACAAGAACAACCAGTGCTGGTGCAAATATGGGGAGAAAGGGACACTCTTATTGTTAGTGGGAATGCTGACTGGTCCATCCTTTTTGGAAAACAATAAGAGTATTTCTTTAAAAAACTAGAAATTGAATTTTCACATGACCCAGCAATACCACTTCTGGGAATATATCCCAAGGGTGCAAAAGAGCACAGTAGAAATGACATCTGCACTTGTATGTTCATTGCAGTACTGTTCACAATAGCCAGAATCTGGAAATAACCCGAGTGCCTGAGAACAGACGACTGGTTAAAGAAACTTTGGTACATTTACACAGTGAAATACAATGCAGCTATTAGGAAAGATGAAGTCATGAAATTTGCTTATAAGTGGATGGTCATGGAGAGTATCTTGCTAAGTGAAATGAGTCAGAAAGAGAGGGACTGGGGCTGAAACAATAGTACAGCGGGTAGGGCGTTTGATTTGCATGGAGCCAACCTGGGTTTGATTCCCAGAATCTCATATTGTCCCCCAAGCACCGCCCAGAGTAATTCCTGAGTACAGACTCAGGGGTAACCCCTGAGCATTGCCCGGTGTGACCCAAAAAGTCAAAAGAGAGAGAGAGAGAGAAAGAGAGAGAGAGAGAGAGAGAGAGAGAGAGAGAGAAGGACAGACATAGAATGACTGCACTCATTTATAGAATATGTATATATATGAAAAAAAACAACCATAATATGAGTCTGACACCCAAAGACAGTAGACACAAGGACCAGAAGCCTGCCTCATGAGCTGGGGAAGAAGGCTGCTGGAATAAAGAAGGGATCACTGAGTCAATGATGGTTGGAGGGATCATTCAGAATAAAAGATGTGTGCTGAAAGTAGATAAAGGACCAAACATGGTAGCGTCTCAGTATCTGTATTGCAAACCATAATGCCCAAAAGTAGAGAAAGAGTATGGGGGAAACTGTCTACCATAGAAGCAGGGGGAGGGGTGAAATGGGGAGGAAAACTGGGTGGAAAATGTGCACTGGGATGGGTGTTCAATCATTGTCTGACTGAAACTCAAACATGAAAACGTTGTAACTGTTCCTCACAGTGATTCAATTTTTGAAAAAAGTATGTATTTTTGGACACATCTGTTAAATGAAATGAGAAAATTCTACTCTTCCCTGAATTTCTATGCCCATGTTTATACCTCATGAAAAATTTAAATACTAGAATTTTTTTTAATTTCTAGAACTAATAATATAAAATACTGGGGCTGAAGTGATAGTACAGCGGGGAGGGCGTTTGCCTTGCATGCGGCCAATCCGGGTTCAATCCCGGCATCCCATATGGTCCCTCCGAGTACAGCCAGGAGTAATTCCTAACTGCAGAGCCAGGAGTAACCCCTAAGCATTGCTGGGTATGACCCAAAACACACACATACACACACACACACACACAAAATACTACAACTGCACACACAGTTTTTGTTATTCTGTGGAGACTTGTTATCTCTAAAGGAAAAATAGTATTTTTGCGAAACAGGTTGGGGGTGGAAGCTCATCCTTTACCTTTAGCTGGATAGCCTGGAGTGAGTGGGTCCCCAGCACCATTCAGGTTGAGCACATTCCCTCTCTGGGCTGCAGAGCCGGGAAGGTTCCATCCTTTGGGATATGGCTGTACCTCAGGAGCAGAATAGTCGGCTGGGTCTGAGAACAAGATGATGCCTGTAGCCCCTGCTAACATGGCATTTTTCACCTGCAAAGGCAATGTGCAATGCACGTGTGAAATAGAAAATGACTGACAGAGTCACCAAAAGAAAAGCAAGTCAGAGCAAAGGAAATGAAGGCTCTGCTTTTTAGCACACATTATTTATTCAGTTTGCTTTGCCGCAATATAATTTCTCTCACAGAACATACATTTCTTCTCTACTGCTCTGAGGTTTTTGTCTCTGTTAAGTAGTTCTATGATCTCTAAAACTACAAAATTCAATTTTTCGTACTACATTGACATATATTCTTTGACATATATTCATTGACATATAATGCTTTATATATTTATAATATGGTCCAAATCAGTATTTTAAAATACCTGTTTTGTTTTTGGTGTGAGATTTTGTTTTCTTGTTTTAGGGGGGCCTACCTGGCAGTGCTAAGGGGTTACCACTAGCTCTGCACTTGTGAACACTCCTGGCTATGTTCCAGGGACTATATGGGGAACTGAAGATCGAACCTGAGTCAGTTATGAGCAAAGCAAGCAGGTACAAATACTTTTTAACGGACTGGAGTGATAGGACAGAAGGTTCCTCACACACAACTGAACTGAGTTTGACCCCTGGCATCCCATGTGGTCCCCTGAGCACCACCAGGAGTAATTACTGAATGCAGAGTCAGGAGTGGCCCCTGAGATTCACCAGGATGGCCCAAAAACAAAAACCTTTAAAATATTTTTCTCTTCACACAAGTGTTTAAGTACATAGACACAAAAATGTTCACACTCACGGGGCTGGAGTGATAGTACAGGAGGTAGGGCATTTGCATTTCATGCGGCTGACCTGGGTTTGATCCCCAGCACCCTACAGAGTCATCTGAGCCCACCAGGAGTCATCCCTGAGTGCATAGCCAGGAGTAAGCCCTGAGCACAAGTCGGTGTGCCCCCACCCCGAAAAAAAATAAATAAAGATGTTCACAGTGGTGGTACTTATTATTTCATGACAACCCAAACTTTTGTCAGAGGCATGGCTAACTAAAATGTGACAAATTCAATTAAATAGAATAGGCACCTGAAATGATGAGGCAGTTGCTTAATGAGCTACTATACAGAAATTATTAAGTACCAGTCACTATCCTAAGTGTTTTCAAAGAGTCACTGAGTCTTACTAAGGATCTATGGGATTAGAGCTGTTACTACCATTCAAGTTTTAGATATGACAAAATATGGGCACAGGGAGGATAGAAAGGTACTCCTAGCAAAGAGGAATAGGGACCAGGTTAGATCAAAGCTGTGTAGACTGAGAGCGCTGTCCTCTTCACCACTTCATAGTGCTTCCCCTGCTGCCTGGAGGAGCACCAAGGAGTCAGCGCTGCATGACAGTTAGGTGCCACAAAAGTGTCTTAAAAATAAATATTGGGGGGCTGGAGAGATAGCACAGTGGGTAGGGCGTTTGCCTTGCACGCAGCTGACCCAGGTTCAATTCCCAACATCCCATATGGTCCCCTGAGTACCACCAGGAGTAACTCCTGAGTGCAGAGCCAGGAGTAACCCCTGTGCATCGCTGGGTATGACCCAAAAAAGAAAAATAAATAAATAAATAAATATGGACAATAAATGAATATAGATCTATTTTATCTACCGTTGACAGAATTAGGTCTGAAGAGAACTTTTAAAATTGGACATGGTGCCGCCAGCCGGTCACTCTATACCTGTGAGGCAAGTACATCAACAGCCTGATGGCGCCTTCAGACTTTCAAATACCCCAAAATTCCTGCTGTGCCTTTGGCCAGACCCCAACAACTTGGGGCAAAGTTTACCAAGAAAGTAAATGGCCAAAAGTTCCATATGTGGGAGACACACCCACAAGCCACCTCCAGCTCAGCTATATAACTGGAGGCAAGGCCTCTCTTGTTCCTGATCGAACTGCTTAATGGCCATGATCCCAGAGACTCAGAGACAAATCTCGAAACCCAGCAGCTTCGGCAGAGATGCGTTCGGTCCCCGCAAAGGATTACCTGGTGCCGGACCACCCCAGAGGGGAAAGGGTATTGTCCCTCTGCCTACGCCCCCTTGGCGGCTCAGTGGCCGCCACCTTCCAGAGGCCATTGAACAGTCAGGTTTGGAACGCAGTGATGAGACACGTGGGGTCTCACAGGATGGGGGTAGACCCGGCCCTTTCCTCCCCACCCCAACGAGACCCCAAGTCACCACCCACGAACACCTCTCTGGCTCCTGATCAACCTGCTTAATGGCCATGATCCCAGAGACTGAGGAACAAATCTCAGAACCCAACAGGTTTTGGCAAAAATCCCTCCAGATTTAATTGTTAAAATTTCAGATTTCCAAAATCGCACAGCCACTACTGTGGCCATACGACATCATATGTTATTCATAACCAGAAATAGAAAACAAATTGTCTACTGTTGCCTTTTAGGCAGATATGAATGTTGGGGTAAAAATCTCAAATAATAATGGTGGGTCTCATGTCGAAATATTGAATGTAATCAAAGTAGAGAGAGAGTAATGTGGAAATCATCTGCCCCACAGGTAGGGGAAGGGTGTAGGATAGGGGATATACTGGGGTTTTTGGTGGTGGAAAATGGGCACTGGTGAAGGGACAGGTGTTTCATTGTATGACCGAAACTTAAACCTGAAAGCTTTGCAACTGCTCTCATGGTGATTCAATAAATAAAATTATAAAAAAAGAAAAAGATAAAAGCAAAGTGGAGTTCATGCCCAATTCAATCAGCCTAATCAATGGCTAAATAAATAGCAATACTCCTACATTAAAAAAATAATAAAAATTTTAAAAAATTTGACATCTCTAGGCAATGAAGTGGGGTATCAAAGGAACTTCTCATATTTTAGTATATACAAATGTCTTTAAGACAAATAGCATGGGGCTGGAGCATAGTATAGCTGGCAGTGTGTTTGTCTTACACACAGCCAACTAGGGTTCAATCCCTGGCACCCCCATATGATCCTCTACCAAGAATGTTCCCTCAGTAGCAAAAAATAAATTAATTAAATTCAAAGCAAATATGAATTTTGTAATAAAATCAATCATAAATTCTACCTAGGTCACAAAATATATCTAATACAAGATATTTGGATAAATATCGCAAAATAATGCACATATATAAAAGTGCTCATATACCACATAATATATATATACAGACTAGATGTATACATATAATGTACCTATAGACACAAGATGTGTGCAAACACACAAGATTATATATGCAATATAATATATGCCTATACATATGTGCTTTTGTATGTACCCACAAGATATGCCTATATGTATCATATAATATATATATATGTACAGAACATATTTATAGACAAGATGTGCATCTATATGCCACAAAATGTATGGGCATATATCCCCACATTGTATACAAATATTTAAAGCACTTTCAGAAAAATGGATACCAAAATTCGTAGTACTAAGCCTATCTTCTTTTTCTAGAAGAGCAAATAGTACAAATAGTACAATACTTTATTTCCTCTGAAGATTTTCCCATATCTTGCAATAACTATCTTTAGTACTAAGCCTATCTTCTTTTTCTAGAAGAGCAAATAGTACAAATAGTACAATACTTTATTTCCTCTGAAGATTTTCCCATATCTTGCAATAACTATCTTTCCAGTGCAATTGATGCTCAATTCTCTTTCTAGTTTGAAAAAATCTTCAGTACGAGCGTAGTTCACATATATGAGATCTCCCTGAATAGAAAGGAAAAAATAAACACAATTCTGTTGTGACTAAAGACAAAACTGAAAATTATATACGATCATTTACATCATCAAAGTTCTCTCTCCTGGTTAGAGCTGAATAAACAAATCAAAGCTAGTTCAATAAGTGTTCTAAAAAGTCACTTCAAAATCATAAAAAGTGAGAAAAAAACATAGAAAACATTTTAAGCAGGGTTTTTCGTTTTGAATAAATAAATCATCAGCGTAGTCTGGGCCACAGGAAATAGAATAAATAGAATAAATAAAACCAGGGGGTTCTTCGTTGCTGTTCCATTTTATTTGGGACCACATGTAGGGCTTACTCCTGACTCTGTGCTCAGAGATCACTACTACTGGCAGTGCTCAGGGGACCAAATGCAGTGCCAAATACAAACCAGGTGGGCCATGTGCCTTAACTCAAATACTATCTCTCCAGGCCCTAAAATCATTCTTTAAACCCCAATTATGTTCTTAACTCTCCACCATGGTAATAATTTAAGAGTTTCTGTGATTGGGGTTGGAGCAATAGTACAGTGGGTAAGGCATTTGTCTTGCATGTGGCAGACCCAAGTTCAATTCCCATTACCCCATATGGTTCCCCGAGCACAGTCAGGAGTGATCCTTGAGTGCAGATCCACAAGTAAGTGCTGAGCACCACTGGTGTAGCAAAAAAAAAAAAAAAATTCTGTGGTGTAATCTATAAACTTCTTCTGCACACCTGTAATAAATCAGACTGTGGAAGAAAGAGAAAAGCATGCAAGAGCCACTGCCAACCCAAATGAAAGGTGTGTTGGCAGTTTCTGTGATGCAGGAGAGGCACTCACTTCACCAGGCTCTGACTTCCATTTATTCTTTTCTCTTTATTTTTTACATTTTTTGGGGGGGATACTGTTTAGGATACACAGCACAATCATCCTGGCTCCTCCTCCTCACTGCCTCAGTTTTTGTCCTCTACCATGGTTTTATAAAATAAACATTTTGAAACTTAATGACTAAAGAATCAAATTTTACCTCTGGCATGCCCTGGGCTGAGAAGGCATTGTATGGAGGTGCAATATTTGTAACATTCTCATATCCATCTGGTGGCAGTTCAAGATATGATGTTTTGAAAATCTAGTAAGAATAGAAATACATGAAGTTGGAGAGAAATTTCACAGATATTTATTTTAAAATAATGCATTTTCCCATAACTATAAACCCTAGAAAAAGAATCTCGAATACAGGTTCTATAATGAACCTGTTGTATCTGGATGAAGTTTACTGGCAACAACAATCAGGAGATTCCTGCATCTTTGAAAAAGTGGAGTCATCTCTAAAAGCAGTCTTGGTAACTAGGCCCTTATGAAGTACAAACACACAGTCTGGAAGACGGCACAGTCCTCATCTCCCTTTTAGTTTTCTAGAAGCTGCCTGTCCTTCGTCAGCATTTAAGCAATGGTTCCTCATATTTTATTCCCAGTCCACTGCTCACTCCACTCTGTGCTCCCTTTCTTCAACAGATCTTTGACCCTTCAAATCTAACCAACAGTCAACAAGCTTCCCAGACAGTATTGTGAGCGCCTAATGGAAAGTTCAATTTAGACATCCAAACACAGCAGTCCTCGTATCTCTGTAATCTTCGTGGGATGGGGACAGATCAGTCCCCTCCCTGCCAAAGGCCCAGTTCTTCAGTCACCCACATCTAGCTCTCACTGCTGCCAAAGAGCATGCTAGTTTCAGGACTGATCTCGGAGAGAGGCCAGAGACACTGCCGTTGATCGTCCCAACTCCAAAATCCCTGAAGCTTGTCACTGTGTATGCAGCTGTGCAAGGTCTCCAAACTTCACAGAGCTGATAGCTCAGGAGAAACAAGAAAATTAAGATGGGAAAATTGAGTTGAAGCCCAGGAAGCTCAGTGAGTGAAAACAATTACACAGAAGGTACAACTACCTTACAGCTCAGTAAATCCTCAGGCCATGACTTTAGCAATACCAATACACGATATAAGCTAGTAACAAGCAATATAAATTATTTTGTGCCTGCTAAGGGAGCAGGCTTAGAGGGTGGAGGGAAACTAGAGGCAATGATGGAGGAATGGTCACATTGGTGGTGTGACTGGTGTTGAATACCTGAAACAACTGCACTGTGAACAACTTTGCAAGTCACAGTGCTTAAATAAAATTTCATTCAAGGCTAAAAACAAAACAAACATAGTCTAGTGGAGCTGTTTTGCTTCCCTCTAGGCATGCTGCTGGTTCTGCCTTCCCTCCTGTTCCAACACACCCTTAGGTGACCCCCCCAACAGTAGGTACCAGGAGTCACCTTGAATACTCACCTCCTCCCCCGCCCGCAATGGCCCCACAGCCCAGCCAATCACTCACTTCTCACACTGCCTCCTTACTGCTGTTTAAAAATCCACCCCTTTTCCTCTTTAAGCTAACAGCTGAATTAACAGCCTTACAATCTCTGACTTGGAAACCAGCATTAGTCCCATTCACAGTCTGTCTGACCTGCAGACCATCTGAAATGCCTTTTGGTCTCATCCTTCCGATGGTTTCAATTGACTAAAGTTGAATTCTAAATGCCTTGGGATAGTAGCAAAGCCTTTCTATGATCTGTACCCCAAACATTTATAATGTTTATCGTTTCAGTTTGTTTTGGGGCCACACCCATTGGTACTCAGGGGCTATTTCCTGCTTGGGGTACTTCCCTTATGGTACCAGGGATCAAATTTAGGCCTCCTATATGCATGTTTTCCAGATCATTGAGTCTTCACCATGCCCTGTATATTCTTTAATATCAGCACTCACTTTGCATTTGACACTCTTTTTTTTTTTTTTTTTTTTTTTTTTTTTGCTTTTTGGGTCACACCCGGAATGCACAGGGGTTACTCCTGGCTCTGCACTCAGGAATTACTCCTAGTGGTGCTCAGGGGACCATATGGGATGCTGGGAATTGAACCCGGGTTGGCCGCGTGCAAGGCAAATGCCCTACCCACTGTGCTATTGCTCCAGCCCCGCATTTGACACTCTTAAGATGCAGAAAATCATTATGTTCTCCAAATAATACTAAGCTTGTACGTGTCTCCAGGTCTTTCTTGATATTATTTTTCTTCTGTCTAGAATCTATTGCCTTGAATTTTTATGACAAATTCTTAAGATATTTCATGATTAACACATAAATCTATCAGGAAGACTTCCTGAACTCTTGGCCTGGATGGAGTGAGTCTCTTCTGTATAGATCAATAACCCTAATCATACTCTCCATTATGCTTCCATATTGATTGGAAGTGACAGTTTCAATGTCTGTCTTCCCTAAGTTAGTAAAGATATCCTGTCCTCATCTTCATTACTATATGAGGACCTAGCACTGTGCCTAATACAGAGTAGGCTCTGAAATATTTGTAACTTGCCCAAAATAGGAGTCCCATTGTAGTATTAACTCAAATTCTATTTTCACTTGACCCTAAATTCCAATTCATGCAACCATGTGAGATTCTAAGATGAAAGGCACCCACATCACCTCCACTCCATGTTCATCCAGGATTGATACATAGTTGGGTTTTGTCTCATTCGGGAAAGAGAGAAGAACATCGTAATGAACCAACTTCGCTGAATCCAGCCCAAATTTCTTCCACTCTGTCTGTATTTTTTTGGCAAGCAGCAAATTTTCTTCTGTTCCTGCCAGATGAGGGAGTTTTGTAAAAGAGCTAAAATAAAAATGAAATAGAAGTGGGAGTTAAAGACATGTTCAAGGATTGTGCCTATGAACCATTCCAGATGTCTTAGTGGCCCTTTAGGAAATCATTTTTATTTCTACATCAAAGAAAATTTTTAAAAAGCCAAGCTCTTATAAACATTGAGTGGCTATTCCAATACTGGTAAAGCCAATTTTAAACTGTTTGTGTATAACTGCAATTGTAAAATCATATGCTCCCAGAAAAGAACACATTTCATGGTAAACAAACTTGGAAAAAGGTGCTTCTGTGCCAAGGCTCCTCCAGGGGGCTCATCAGCAAACAGGATGTTTTGAAAACTGACTATTTTCCGAAGAACAGTTGGTCAGACTATATTTTTTTTTACTTTTTATTTTTTTTTTTTAACTGAATGACCCCGAGATACACAGTTACAAAGTTGTTCATGATTGGGTTTCAGTCACACAATGTCCCAGCACCTATTTCTTCACCAGTGTGTACTTCTCAGCACCTTTCTCTTCCTCCCTCCCTCCCTCCCTCTCTCTCTCTCTCTCTCTCTCTCTCTCTCTCTCTCTGGAAACAGTTTGCCACCCACCCCATCAGTAGAGCCTCTGGACAGCCAGAATACATCAGCTTCAAAGAAAAAGGAATACTGGGGCTGGAGAGATAGCACAGCGGCCAGGACATTTGCCTTGCACACAGCCAGCCCGGATTCAATTCCCAGCATCCCATATGGTCCCCCAAGCACTGCCAGGAGTAATTCCTGAGTGCAGAGCCAGGAGTAACCCCTGAGCATCGCCGGGTATGACCTGAAAAGAAAAATTATATATGTATATATATATATATATATGATAGTTCTATCTTAGGAACATAAAACCATTGATGTGTATATGGCTAATAGGGTGGCTCAGTAGAAAAGCAAGTTTACAGAATTAATGGGAAAAACAATCTTACATTCCTGGAAGAAACCATTGGTCTTTTGACAGCATTTGATTCCCCCACCTCCAAAAAAAAAAAGAAAGAAAGAAAGAAAAAGTAAAGAAATGGAAGAAATCACATTCACATTCCAACCTGCTTAAGAGAGCTCACAAGATTATGTCAGTGGGTGCAGTGTCTTTCTCATGATGCTCCCTTGGAACAGTCTGAACACAGAAATAAACACCAAGATCCTAACCTTCACAGAGTGCAAAATAACTAACCTGAAAGTCAGTCTGAGTCTGAGTCAGATCTGAAAGCTGGTGGCATTTACCCTTAGCCTTCAGTTTTTGTTATGTCCTATTTGTGGTATGTTTTATTTATTTATTTAATATTTTGGCCTCCCAAATAGTACCCAGGAGATCCCAGGGCAGTTCCATTGATTCTCAGCAAGCAGTGTTGCTCCGGTCTTGGGGTGCTCTCTAGCCCTGGGGTGCTGCCCTGGCCCTGGGGTGTGAGGACTGCAGGACCGCCTTGGCATTGCTTGGGGGCTTTCAGGACTACATCCTGCAATGCTCTAATGTTCTGGGGTCCATGTGGTGCTAGGATTTGAGCCTAGGCTGACTACATGCAAGGCACATGTACTTCACCCCTGTACTATCACTTGGGCCCTTTATTTGTGTTCTTCTCATTTTAAACAATGAATAAAGGTTTAGATTGTGACAGACAGAATTTGAAATTTTAATACCCTTTTCTCCAAATCAGAGTTGAGGATCAGACCCTTTCTAAACAAATATGAGGTAAAAAAGCAGTCAGACTCATGTGAACCTGCAGGCATTAGAGCATCAGACTGTCTTGTTCTTGTATCTCTTCTTTCTAGAACCTCTCCCAGTACCCTTTGCCCTGTCTCCAGACCCCAAGGATTCTTCTCAGGCACTGTGTTTATTGCCAAATCGGAGTGAGATAAAAGGAGCAAGCACAGGCCAAAGCCTATAGGCCCCAGGCAAACATCTGGCTCCTGTTATCTCAGCTTGTGACAGGCAGATCCAATCCCCACCTCTCCCACTGATTCTTCCCTCAGATGAGACCAGCTGGAGGATTAGTCTGCACCTTTCTCTCCCATGCCTGCCATCACTTTTTTTTTATAAAGTTGTTCACAATATTTGATTACATTTAGTATTTGAACACTAGTCCCACGACCATTACACCTTCCCACCACCTACCTTCACTTTTCACTCTGACTTACTTTTCCCACCTGCCCCAAATAAGCTTGAAACCCCAATCTGAGAGAAAGACGATTTTCTGGGACAAGCTCAGCATCTTCTCAGGATGTTAATAATAAATCCGTTTAAACCTGAATGAGCTTTTTTATGGTATTTTGAGCAAGCGGAGCTCTGCTTTGGCAACAAAGCCAAGCAGTGAGGAACAAAGAATAACTTTCAACTGTGAAACAAAGTTACATGGAGTTGCTGTCTCTCTTCATACACAGACCAAATGCTTTCCTTGAGGTGAAGTTAAGAAAGACATACTCCTGAGACACTCAAAAGCATTTTACTCCTAAAGGGTTATTTTAAACTAGTATAAATGTGGCCTTCTAATTTCACTGGAAGAGTGACCACACGAATATAACCCGTCCTAATACACTTTTCACCCACAATGTTTTAAACACAGTATTTGACTCAAATATGCAAAGCAGCTTACCGAAGAAAGGACTTGATGTTTTCTGCTTTCATCTCAGACACCAGTTTCCATCGGACACTGTCGTGATGGTGTAGCAAGGAGGCTGTTTGAAGAGGTTTAGTAAACCAGCCTGTGGAAGAACAGGACATGCACACCGGCGTCCAGCTGTTCTAAATCTCCAGAAATGTATCAGAGACCCTGCGTGGTGCTTCTTGGGACCCTCCCCCGAAGGCCATCCCGGGGAGGGCCGCTGCCTCTCCCGGGCTTTGCAGGAGGCTAGGCTGGCTCCCTCCGTGCAGGGGTACCCCCTGCAACACAGTAGGCAAGTTCCCAGGCATGAAGTCTTGCCCTTAAGAGGCCCTTCCAGCAGAGCTCAGAGGCCGGAACTTTGGTGGGTGGCAGGAACACCCCTTCCCCACAAGGGCGCACTTACCCACCAGGAAGCCGGACAGGAACGACACCAGCACCATCGCTGTGCACAGGCACAGGTACAGACAACCCCAGGCCTTCGCCATCGATGCTTCGGATCTGAGCTGGGGGCACCGGACGCCCTCGCGGGCCAGGGGCCTGCGGACACAGACACAAGCTGCCCCTGGGAGCTTGCAGAGGGACGGGACGTGGTCCGCAGGGGCGTGCTTTACTGAGCAGCTCCACCAGCAGAGGGCGCTGCTGAGACACCACCCACCGACCCACCCACCGCCATCCACCCCATCCCCACCCACCGTCCATTTCTCCCAGCAACGCCCGCCCGGGCTGGAGCTTTTCACAACCGCCTTTCCAGCAGCAGGGGAACCCGGGCCCATTTCACCAGTTTCCAGAAACCCAGCGTATTCCACCACAAGCATTGCCAGTCCTGGCTGTCCAATCCTCAGCCCTGCCCAAATCTGCACAGTTTGGGGATGAAACAGAACAGAAAGAGTCTGCCAGCTCCCAGCTCCTGGCAGAGGGCTCCTGAAACCACGGTCAATTCCTAGGAGAAAGTACTTGTTGTCATACTTGTTATCCTCCAGAAGTGGGATGAGCACCAACCAGGAGCATCTCCTGTTCTGATCAGGTGGAGACCTGTCACCCCAATACCCAAGCCATGCTGGGAGCTGTGAATTTTCATGGGCCCTTCTCCCTTCTCCAGAGAAGGGAGAGTCTGGAAATAGTTCATAATGGATCCGGGTGAGAAGATCCTACTGAGGATCATCCCATAAGACCCCAGAAGCAAGGGCTGGGATTTTCTGTGTGCACAGACCCCCATTGGATTCCTGGGTCCGATGCTCCTGCAGGAGCACAGGGGAATTCCCAGACCTCACCTGTGCACTGCTTCATCTTACTTACCACCTGTATCCTTGAATCATAGTTTCTAATACAAATTAGGTAACATTTTTCCATTTCTTCTGCAACTGAAATTCTTCCTTACCTCACTGGACTATAGGTCAAGCTAGCAAGACTGGTTATTGAAGGTCGCCTCACAGTCATGAGTCACCCTTTCAGAGCACATCTCTCTGTCCTGTCCCACCTCTTGGTTTGGGGGGCCACATCCAACAGTGCTAGGTGGAGGGAAGCAACTCCTACTCAGTGCTGCCCAGGGGACTGTGTGCTCCAGGAACTGACCTGGGCCTATCGCATGCAAATCATTTGTCTGCTCCAGCCCATCAAGCTATCTCCCTGGCCCAAGAACATTTTTGTTTAAAGGTGAAGGAAGATTTGCAAAGTGCAGGTGCTTCTTATAAGGATTCTGCATACCTGATTTCACCCACAGCAATTTCTAACTTGCTTTCTCATATTCAACTGAGAGATTTTTCTGCCAAAGTAAAGATGCAGCTATAAAACTGCGAATTGAAGGAACTTTCCTCAATATAATCAAAACCATCTACCACAAGCCCATGGCAAGAATTATCCTCAATGTTGAAAAACTAAAAGACTTCCCTCTGAGATCAGGGACAAGACAAGGGTGCCCAATCTCGCCACTTCTATTCAACATAGTACTGGAAGATTTTGCCATAGCAATTAGGTAAGAAAAAGATATTAAGGGCAACCCGATAGGAAAGGAGGAAATTGAGCTCTCACTATTTGCAGATGACATGATACTATATTTAGAGAACCCTAAAGCCTCTACCAAGAAATTCCTAGAAACAGTAGACTTGTACAGTAAAGTCGCAGGCTATAAAATCAATACCCGAAAGTCCATGGCTTTCCTATATACAAATGAGAAGAAAGAGATATGGAAAAAACAATCCCATTCACAATCATACCTCAGAAAATCAAGTACCAGGGCCAGAGCAATAGTACAGCAAGTAGGGCATTTGCCTTGCACACGACCAACCCGGGTTCGATCCCTAGCATCCCATATGGTCTCTCAAGCACCACCAAGAGTAATTCCTAAGTGCAGAGCCAGGAGTAACCCCTGAGAGTCACTGGGTGTGACCCAAAAAGCAAAAAACAAAAAAGAAAAGAAAAAGAAAATCAAGTACCTCAGAATCAGCCTACCTAAGGAAGTAAAGGACCTGAACAAAAAAAAAACTACAAAACCCTACTTCAAGAAATAAAAGAGACGAAGAACTGGAAACACATCCCCTGCTCATGAATTGGGAGAAATAACATTGTCAAAATGGCAATACTCCCCAAAGCATTATACAGATTCAATGTGATCCCTATAAGGATACCCATAAAATTCTTCAAAGAAATTAATCAAACACTCCTGAAATTCATATGAAACAACAATTGCTAAAGCAATTCTTGTGGGGAAAAAATATGGGAGGCATCACCTTCCCCAACCTCAAACTGTACTACAAAGTGGTAATAATTAAAACAGTATGGTATTGAAACAAAGATCTGTAGACCAATGGACTAGGGTTGAACATCCTTACACAGACCCTCAAATATACAATTATCTAATCTTTGATAAGGGAGCAAGAAATATAAAGTAGAGCAAGAAAAGCCTCTTTAACAAATGGTGCTGGCAAAACAGAATAGCTACATCCAAAAAATGGGCTCAGACCTCTACCTAACACCTTGCACAAAATGGATTAAAGACCTCAACATGAGACCAGATTCTATAAGATACGTTGAAAAAAAAGGATCAACAAAACCCCCCACGACATTGAAGCTAAAGGTATCATCAAAGATGAACCGCCACTGACCAAGCAAGTGGAGACAGAGATAAACAAATGGGAACTATCTTAAACAAAGAAGCTCTGCACCTCAAAAAGAAACAGTAACCAGAGTACAGACAGTCTACAGAACTGGAAAGGATATTCACCCAATACCCTTCTGATCAAGGGTTAATATCAAGGATATACAAGGCACTGGTTGAACTCCACAAGAAGTAAACATCCAATCCCATCAGAAAAGGGGGTGATAAAATGAGCAGAAACTTCCTCAAAGAAGAATTCTGAATGGCCAAAAGGCACATGAAAAAAATGCTCTTCATCACCAATCATCAGGGAGATGCAAATCAAAACAATGAGATATCAACTCACACCACAGAGACTGGCACACATCTAAAAGAACAAAAGCAACAGGTGTTGCCATGGACGTGGGGAGAAAGGGACTCTCCATCACAGCTGGTGGAAATGCTGACTGGTCTAGCCTTTTTGGAAAACAATACAGATGTTTCTCAAAAAACTAGAAACTGAAGTTCCACTTGACCCAGCAATAACTCTTCTGGGAATATATCCCGGAGATGCAAAAAAGTACAGTAGAAATGACATCTGCACTTGTATGTTTACTGCAGCATTATTTACAATGGCCAGAATCTGGAAAAAAAAACCCAAATGCCCAAGAACAGATAACTGGTTATAAAACTTTGGTGGTGTTTCACTAATAAAAATTTAAAATTAAATAAATAAAATTTTTTAAAAAGAAAGATCTCAGCAAAAAAAAAAGAAAGAAACTTTGGTATATCTACAGAATGGAACACTATGCAGCTGTTAGAAAAGATGCAATTATAAAATTTGCATATACATGGATGGACATGAAGAGTATCATGCTAAGTGAAATGAGTCAGAAAGAGAGGGACATAGAATGACTGCACTCATTTGTAGAATATAAAATAACATAACATGAGACTAACACTAAGGGTAGTAGAGATAAGGGCCAGGAGGATCACTCCATGGCTTGGAAGTTGGTCTCACATGCTGGATGAAAAGGCAGCTGGGATAGAGAAGGGACCACTAAGTAAATGATGGCTGGAGGGCTCGCTCGGGATGGGAGGTGCATGCCGAAAGTAGACTATGGACCAAATATGGACCAAACTTGATGGCCACTTAGTACCTGTATTGCAAACTATAATGCCCAAAGGGAGAAAGAGAGTAAGAGGGAATGTGTCTGCCAGAGAGGCAAGGGATGGGAAGGAGAGGGGGTAGAAGAAGGGATACTGGGAACATTGGTGGTGGAGAATGGGCACTGTAGGAGGGATGGGTATTTGATCATTGTATGACTGAAACATAATCACAAAAGTTTGTAAGTCTGTAGCTGCATCTCATGGTGATTCATTTTTAAAAATATTTTTTAAGAAAGATGTGGCTGTAGGCATTATAGAAGGGCCAATGCATCTGTAGCCACCACACCCCAAACCTTTCTATTTTGCTTTCATACATCATAACTATGTACACCTCCTCACTTCAGGGTGAACTTTCAATAAAATATTTTTAAAAAAATGATTTCAAAATGTGTGTTAGTGAAATTCCTATTTTTATTTTTTTGCTTTTTGGGTCACACCCGACGATGCACAGGGGTTATTTCTGGCTCTGTACTCAGGAATTACTCCTGGCGGTGCTCAGGGGGGCATATGGGATGCTGGGGATTGAACCCAGGTAGACCATGTGCAAGGCAAATGCCCTACACTGTACTATCACTCCGACCCCCTGAAATCCTTATTTACTCTGCTAAATTGAAGCCATATCACCTGAAATGGGAGCATTGTCGGTGCCTCAGTTGGCAGCATCTGCAGTCCACATATGTCCGACCCATGTGTGAGAGGTCTAGTTGGAAGTTTTAGCGAGTCTTTGACCTTTGTAAATACAAAAACAGATTCATTTCTACCTCAATCAAGCCCATTGCAGAAGGCAAATATAAGATTTTCTACTTATTAGCATGTTGCAAAAGTCTTGTGGTTTGGAAAGCACACATACAAAGCAACATTGTTTATGTGTGCCAACCTCTGGACTTTTCTTTTAAAGCCAAGAAACATATAGAAAAGTTTTAGTCTTGGAAAAACCAAACTGCTGAACCTGGGACTGGAGCCACAGTACAGTGGGTAGGGCACTTGCCTTGCATGTGGCTCACCTGGGTTTGATACCCAATACCCCTTAAGTCCTCCCAAGCCCACCAGGAGTGATCTTTGAGTGCAGAACTAGGAGTAAGCCTTGAACACCACCAGGTATGTACAAAACAAAAAATGAAACTACTAAACATAATTGATTTGCTCTGAAAAAACATCCCTCCTCTTCTCACACCATGGAAGAGCAGCCTTGTAACCAGAGTTCAAATCCAAGCCAAAGACTCATAGCAAGGTTTGAAAATGAAGCATGACTGAGAAGCAGTGTGTGTGTTGTGCTGAATACGCAACCCTCATTCAGACTTAACAGAGAAGGAACCCAGGTGTCTGTGCCACCTAGTCTGTGTTTTGTTTGAAGATGTTTCCTTCCATTTCACAGATGATCCCCCAGGTGCTCACTACCCAGACAGAGATAGGCTGCCCGTGCTGATATTACCAGGGACCTCACTGGAGATGGTGACAGCTCAGCCTGCAACACCCACTCTCTGGAGAGAGGAACAAATGATGTGGTGATTGGGATTCCTAACAGGAGACACATTCCAGTTGAAAATTTTGAAAATCCTGGATCAGAAGACATCCAAAATTCAGCTTCATGATGAAATACGTATGCATGTTAATACACTGTACAACATGCCAGACCTCCGAGCAGGTGAGGAGCAAGAAAGCTGCGGCATGAGCGATGAGAAAAGACTAAGAGGCAAATAAAAGTGAGTGAAAAGATATGTGAAGGGAAAAGCAGAAAACCAGGATTGGATGGCTGCCTTCTGATGTCACAATTACTCTACTTATAGTAAATGTAGGAATCAGAGAAAATTCATAGGGTGGAAGTGCCAAACAGAGAGAAACCCCCAACATACACACACACAGCATGGACTGTAATGCTAACTTGTTGATAAATTAGATTTTTGGACCTTAAAACGCTCAGCATGCCCATCCCTTATCTATGACCATGCCTCCCATCTATTTCCACATTACTGCTTTGACATAATATACTAATATCAGGGAACACTTTCTGCTATTTCTTCCAATGACAAACCCTCCAGTCTCACTCATTAACATCTACAATGCCTGGCACCTTCCATCTCATTCTGTCTGTGAATCTCTCAAGTAATTTTCCTTACTTTTTTTTTGGGTGGGGGGGAAGCTTGGGGAGGGCAATACACATGGTAATACTCAGGGCTTACTCCTGGCTCTTTTTTTAGGAAAATCACTCCTGATGGTACTTAGGGGACCACCTATTGTGCCAGGGATTGAAACAAGTCAGCCACAGCAAGCTGCTGTACTATCTGACCTTAGTCTTCCTTCCAACAACCCTTTCTTCCAGCTGCCCAACACCTCTTTTCACTGATCTGTTTTCCCTTGAGCTCAAAAATCTCTACCTCTTCCATCTGCTTCCTGCAGTCACACAGGAAACGTGACTTAGGCATGCCACCATTATTCTATGCTCCACCTTTGAAACAATCTCCCCATGATTCTATTACTTGCTTCCTATTTTCACTGTTGTCCCCAACTGACCACCAAGCTATCCTCCCACCTTCTGCAGTGGTTTCCATACTGCCTTGTAGATCTGGCCCTTCACTGTCTTCCTTCATACTTTACATCTAGTTCCCCAGTGAGGTCTTCCAACACTGCTCCCAGCCACATCTCCTGCGCCCAGCTATGTCAACAGCATTCCTCTTACCACAGCAACAATTATTGTTCACCAGACCTTCCCTAGCAGTAGAACCCTGGTCTCTGCCTCCTTCCCCTGCTGCTTTTATATTCTCCATCTTTGACCCAGAAGAGTTATCTTACTACAGTAACAATTAGACTGTTATTATTCATTCTGTTATTATTCATTCCTTCAAAGCTTTCTCATTCAACTTAAAACACAATTAAGATCATTATAGTGGTCCCCATGCCCACTGGATCTCACTTTCGCTCTCATCTCCCTTCATAGGAACCCACCATAAATAAAACTCTTGCAAACCCAATGAGATAAAGGTTAAGAAACCCCCATATGCTCAGAAAGACCAAACAATCCAACATGGAGACTGTGGTCCTGTCTGTCCCAGTCATAATGCCCTGGGCTCAGATGTCCACAGGTGATAGAAGTGTTTATAAAAGACCAATGACCAAGAAGCCTCCAAGAATCTCCTTTACCACCCAACAGTTCCTAATAAGGAAAAAAAGCAAGGGGGGGATCCAACAACTATATAATTCAAGGCAGTGACTAGAAAAATTAAATTACTTTTTTGTTTTGGTTTGATTTTTGTGGTTTTAGGGACACACCTGGTGATCCTCGGGGAGTACTCCTGGATCTGCACTCAGGAATTACTCCTGGAAGTGTTTGAGGGACCATATGGGATGCAGGGGACCATATAGAATGCAGGGGACCATATGGGATGCAGGAGATGAAACCTAAATTGGTCACATGAAAGGCAAGTGCCCTACCCTCTGTAATTCCTGGCTCTGAACCCAGATATCACTCTTGGCAGGCTCAGAGAATCATGTTAGGTGCTAGGGATCAAACCAAAATGGGCCAGATGCAAGGCAAGAGCCATTACTCACTGCCCTAAAGCTAACATCATCTTCAACCTAAAGTTTATTTTCACTCTACCATGGTGTAACCTCATATCTAACCCTAGCCCTAACCTCTAATATTAATCCCCTAACTCTAATCCTGGGTCTGGAGCGATAGCACAGCAGGTAGGGCGTTTGCCTTGCACGCAGCCAAAATGGCCAACCCGAGTTCGATTCCTCCACCCCCTCGAGAGCCCGGCAAGCTACCAAGAGTATCTCACCCGCACGGCAGAGCCTGGCAAGCTACCCGTGACATACTCAATATGCCAAACACAGGAACAAGTCTCACGAAGGAGACATTACTGGGCCCGCTCAAGCAAATCGATGAACAACAGGAGAACCGTGACCGTGAATGTGAACTCTAATCCTAAACCCAAACCTATCCCTATTAACCCTAATCTCTAACCCTCAAACCTATCTCTAACACTAACTCTAACCACAAAATCCTATCCCTACCCTACACATAACCCTAAATAAATTAAGTGTATGTGACTAGATATTTACTAACAATGGGGAGGAGTACAGCAGAACTGGGGGCTGATCCCAGGCAACGCATATGGTCCACCCAGCCTCACCAGGTGTGATCCGAGTGTACAGTCAAAAGTTCTGGGCCCAGCTTGGTATGTACCTCCTTTTTCCCCTCCCCAAAAAGAGATATATAGCAATTCTGTACATATATCCACGTTTGTGACTATACAAACATCGTTTGGTTAAACATCAGGAAGAAATGAAGCAACAGAGAAGGAATAAATAGAGGTTTATAAAAAAATGAATTTTGTGTGTGTGTGTATGTGTATGCAACTATGTAAGGAACGAGTAACTGATTTGGCAGGGAATGCATGGAGACTTACTTCTCATATCCTTACTTCTTGAAGTCAGTTCCAAAGTCCTCTGTGAAGATCAAGTCCTGGAGGTGCCCTCTATAGTGAGAAACCAGTATATCTGCAGCTTATTCCAGGACATAAGGCTTGTAGGCTATTAACTTCAGTCACAACTACATGTGGTGGAGCTGAAAAGATAGTACAGTAGTACAGTGGATAGAACACTTGCCTTGCATGTGACCAACATGGGTTTGATCCCCAGCACCCATGTTGTCCCCAGAGCACCACCAGAAGTGATTTCGAGTGCATGAATAACCCCTGAGCATTTCCCAGTGTGGTTCCCAAACCAAAAATATAAATAGAATCATACCTAATAAGGAGTATACCTAATAAGCAACACAATAACCTGTTTCAGGTCAGCTCGTGAGGGCCTGATACCCTGCTTGGGGCCCGCAAGTCAAAGACCAAGGAGTCTTGGTCTTCCAGTTCTTTATTCAGGTCTGGACGGGAATCCCAGAAATTCCAATGATTCTATTGGAATGTATTGGAATACCTTGAGGACCAAGGTACTGGGGCAGTATCATGCTCCCAACCCCCTCTACTTAGCAGAGTAAAAAACGTTAACAGGAGGCTGTGTATTTTGAACTCTCAAAGAGACAAAATATGTAAATGCATCAGTCCAATTAAGGAAACTGAGAAGAGTCAAGATCTGTACTATTGGACTGTGAACTTCACCATCAGTAGAAAGTGAGCAGGAACTGCGATGAACCACATAACTCACACTATTCTTTTATATACATATATATATAATGTGTGTATATATATATATATATATAATGCAGGAGTACTGCTATTTATTCAGTCATTGATTAAGCTGATTGAATTGGGCATGAACTTCACATTACTTTTTCTTTTTGTATTCAGAATGTTAATTTTATTATTTTATTATTTCCCCCACCCCTATTTTTTTACTCACCATGAGATACAGTTGCAAAGCTTTCATGTTTGAGCTTCAGTCATACAATCATCAAACACCCATCCCTTCACCAGTGCACATTTTCCACCACTATCCCCAGTATTACCCCACCCCAACCACATTGCAACCCTTACCCTGCCTCTGTGGCAACTTCCCCAAACTCTCTACTTTGATTACATTCGATATTCCGACACCAGTCTCACCACCACTCAAACCTGCTGTATAGGCAATGCTAGACAATTTGTTTTGTATTCTTCGTTATGGATAGAATATAATGTCCAGGAAATTCTGTGTCGTTCTCTTCCAGGAGCTTTAGTTTATAGTCTATGGGTCTTGGCCGTTGATGAGATTACATGGCGCTGAGGGCAGTTCATGAGCATGACTGCCAAGCTTCTGGAAAACTGGGGACCTGGGGGAGGAGGCCCAGTTCCGATCTGAGTGGGCCTGGAGATCTGTCATGGGTTCCTGCCTACTTCCACACTACAGGCCCTAATGCTTTTTTTTTTTTTTTTTGGCTTTTTGGATCACACCTGGCAATGCACAGGGGTTACTCCTGGATCTGCACTCAGGAATTACTCCTGGCGGTGCTCAGGGGACCATATGGGATGCTGGGTATCAAACCCAGGTCGGCCACGTGCAAGGCAAATGCCCTACCTGCTGTGCTATCACTCCAGACCCTCTAATGCATCTTTTGATCTCTTTTGAGATTTATAGGTCTCTGAAATAAGGCCAATAAGTGAGCTTATATAATTAAGCCAAAGGTGGTTTGTGGGGGTGGCTCCCACATACCTAACTTTTAGCAGTTGAATTTTTTGGTAAACTTGGCCCCAAGTTGTTGGGGTCTGGCCAAAGGCACAGCAGCAATTTTGGGGTATCTGGAAGTCTGAAGGCACTATGAAGCTGCTGATGCACTCGCCCCACAGGTAGACTGACCTGCTGGCAGCACCATAGCCCCTCACACTATTCTTTAGTGCATTTTGTATCTTAGAGTCTGGAACACATTCTTTTCTGACAATCCAGCTAGTTACAAGACAAACAACAAAATGAGATTTTCAAGTGTATTTACAATAGTATAAATGTACTATGGTGCCCTCTATGGTGAGAAACCAGTCTACTTGCAGCTTATTCCAGGACTTCAAGGCATGTATACAAGTTAAAATCTCTCCCAGAACTAGTTTATATATAATCAAAAAAGGCCTAAGTAAGTAAAAACCTGCCATACACATTAATCAGAAACTTGAGAGAAAGCACACACAGAGGTGCTCATGGTTCATGGGACCAAGTGGTACCAGAAATCAAACTGGAGCTCCAGCATGGAAAAGTGTGTACTCCATTAGATGGGATGTAAGTAGGCAACCAATCTCAATTAAAATACTAACATCTAAGGCTTAACCTGTAACACATTAGTAATCTCTTATACAAGGGTTCAATTGCTCCAGGGTGAGATACAATCTTCAGTTTTTTCTAAGGAAATCTTTCTTGATCATTTTTGGCAAATTGTTCGTAACAAGCAATACAAAATAAATCATTTAGGGCCTGCTATTGGAGAAGGCTTGGGTGGTGATCGGGAAAATTGGAAATAATGGTGATGGGAAGGTATAATGGTGGTGGGATTGGTGTTGGAATATTGAATGTAAAAATCATAATGAACAACAAAAAGTATGTACTCTCTTCAACCCAGGAAACAATTTTTCTTTCTTGTAAAAATGGCTTTACTTCAATTGAAAGTGCTTGGACGATTATCCAGTAAGATTGTACAGTAGGAAATGTGCTTGTGTTGCAGATGACTAACTGGGGTTCAGTCCCTACCCGCTATCCAAAGAAGTAGCAAGTTAGTGACAGAGTGATAGTACAGTGGATAGGATGCAGCCAAGCTGGATTTGATCTCCAGCACCCCAAATGGTCCCCTGAGCCTATCAGGAGTAATACCTAAGTGCAGAGTCAGGAGTAACTCCTGAGCACCACCAGGTGCGGCCCCAAAACAAAGCAAAATGAAGTTTTTTTTTTAAATGAGTAATCCCTGAGCACAAAGCCAAGAGTAAGAACTGGGTATCGCTGAGTGTACCCCCCCCATGACACCTCAACACACACACACACACACACACACACACACACGCGCGCGCGCGCACACACACGCAACGTGCTAGGAAGTTCACAGGAAAGAGTCAGATATAAATATGCTTGAGACTTAGTAAGCCTCTAAGAAAATATTCCTCTCATTTCATTGTAAAATTGGCTTCTCAAACCTACAGAAGAGGGTGCCACAAAAACAACAAAGAACCTTCATGGCATTGTCCAGAGACTATAGTCAAAAGGACATCCCCAGGACCAGGGTAAAGTGGGTAAGTTACTTGCCTTGCACACGGCCAACCCATATGGTCCCCCAAAGCGAGAGAATGATCCCTAAGTGCAGAGCCAAGGGTAAATCCAAAGCACTGCTGAATGTGCGTCCCCATGCCCCCCCCCAAAAAAAAAAATAAAAAGACATCCCCAGACATTGGTGGTATGCTATCTAGGGGATATGCCATTTGGTTCAGGATTTACGAACACTAACAAACTTAACACTTAGATTTCTCTGTCTGATTTTTGTTTTTTTGTGGCCACTCTCCATAAGCAATGTTGGGAGGTTGCTCTCTGTCCCTAGTGTTCAGGAACTAAGTGGTACGGTGTGCTACCCAAGGGGACTAAATCAGACCTCCTGCACACTAGCCCTTTGAGCTATCTCCCCGGTCCAAAATAACACAACTTTCTATTAGAGCATTATCTTGCTTAGAGGACAAGAAACAAATACTGCCCAACAAACAATGAAGATATATTGTCTGCTTAGAATTTGTATCTGCCATCAGTAGAGCCAGAGATGAAAACCAGAGCCACATGAGGCACATTCTCTACCACTGATTCTTCCTGACCCTCTTCTTTTTTGACTCAATAGAAAATTTCAAATACAACCATTGACATGACCAATACTCTGCACACAAACATAAAGAATCATCATGAAGCTGAGGAGATAGTTCAGGTAGTAAAGCACATACAAGGCATGTGAGAGACCCTGAATTCAATTCTCAGCATGACCTTCTCCCTAGTCCTCAGGAACAACAGATGTGGACCTGGTAGCTTCCAAGGACCAAATGAGATCTGAAACATCCAGTTTTGTGTTTGTGTGTATGTGTGTGTGTGTGTTTTGGGGGAAAGGGCACACCCAGCGATGCTTAGGGGTTACTCCTGGTTCTGTACTCAGGAATTATTCCTGACAGTGCTCAGAGGATCTTATGGGATGCCAGTGATAGGACCAGGATGGCCATGTGCAAGGCTGTCCTAACATGCTGTACTATCTCTCCAGCCCTGAAACATCCAAAATTTAAAGAGATCATCCACTGAGGTTCAAGTCAGGCTTCTAATCAAGAGTGCTGGGGAAAGAAGCTCCCTGCCTGGGGCCAGAGCAATAGTACAGCAGGTAGGGAATTTGACTTGCATGCAGTCAACCATGGTTCCACACATCCCATATAGGTCCCAGTGTACCACCAGGAGTAACCCCTGGGCATCACTGGGTGTGGCCCAAAAACCAAAAACATTTTCAAAATTAAAGGAAAAGAAGACACTCTGTGCCTCTAAGAACAAAGGCTGTCTGCCTACTGGAAGTCACCTGACTCCCTGAGAATCATACCTGCTCAGGTAGGAAACAAAAAGGTCTGAGCCTCAGGCGGAAGGCCTGCAAGCATCAATGTCAAAGACTTCCTTAAAATCTTTTTACACTGCCAGGAGTAACTCGAGTGTAGAACCAGGAGTAACCCCTGAGCATTGCTGGGTGTGCCCCTCCCTCCCAAAAAAAAAGTTACTTCCTACTGTCATTCATTTTCACTTAAGATGCTTTAGGGGCCAGAGAGATATTAAGCAGGTAAGGCCTTACATGCAGCAACCCAGGTTCAATCCCTGACACCCCTTGTGGTTCCCCTAAGCACAGCCAGAAGTGATCTCTGAGCAGTCAACAGTCAGCCCTGAACATCACCGGATGCGGCCTCAAAACAAAACAGAAAACAATTTAAGAGTGCTTTAGGGACTGGAGATGATACAGCATGCCAGATGCCTGCCTTACAGACGGCAGACCCAGGTTCAATCCACAGCATCTCATATGGTCCCCTGAGTACTGCCAGGATTAATTCCTGAGTGCAGAGTTAAGAGTAACCCCAGAGCAGAGCCAGCATGCCCCCCTCACACACCCCCACTACCCCCAAAAAAAGACTGCTGTATTAGGACAATGTAAAATTATATAAACCACGACTTTATTTCAAGCAATTTCAAAACAACTATCAGTGCAAAATGATGTTCCTTCTTCACTGTTCCTTATTACCAACAGCTACTTAATCCAATCCTAAAGACTGAACATAATATTCTTTCTACAATACCCATTTCAGTTTATTGGATTTTTTTTTTTTTTTTTTTTTTTTTTTTGCTGGGGAGGAAGGGTTCAGGGTTTACTCCTGGCTCTGCACTCAGGAATTACTTCTGGCAATGCTCAGGGGACCACACAGGATGCCAGGGATGGAATATGGGTTGAAGACGTGCAAGGCAAGCACCCTTCTGCTATACTATTGCTCCAACCCCTATTAAATGATTTTCAAATGTTCCTTCCTCTTCTGTCAAAAAGGCCATCTGACCTGAAACCCTTGTGCATGTGTGACAACTCTCAATGGACTCATCTCAAATGTACGCAACAGCCATTTACTGACAAGCCAAGGTCAGACCAATCCACACCTGCCCCACAGAGCAGAGCATTCAAGGATGGGCTCTAAACCCAAGACAAACATCCAGAGCACCTGGGTGAGAACTGTTCCAGGAGAAGAGCTAAAAGAAATTAAACTTAAAGTCTTCATCAAGAATATCATGGGTGTCCTTTGCTCCTGCTGCCGGGCGAGGCCGGCAGATCCTCCCGCTCTTCTTTCTGGCAGCCTCACCTACAGGATGCACCTGGGCCGCATGAGCTTCTGTAGGGGATGGGAACAAAAAACAGAAATTAGGAACCGTTCTTATTAGGTGCACCCAAACAACTCTAACTTAAAATATAATTGTATAAATTAGTTTCCAAGATTATAAAGTTGGTATTACCACACAGACACAGACACAGCATTAAGAGTCAGAGAAAACTTAACCCTGCAGCCCCAATCCCAAGATCCAGAATTTTTCTTTTCCTTTCAAAGATGGGCAGGGGTCACACCCAGTAGTGATTAGGCATGTCACTCCCAGCTCTTGTTCAACCAGCAATGCTGGGAATCAAACCAGGCCTTGGGCAGGCATGCAATATGCTCAACCCAACTGGATTAACTTTCCAGACCCAAGGTCAAGAACTGCGCAGGCATTTTTTTTTTGCGGGGGGGGGGGGGGGGGGGAGGCATCTGTGGTACTCAGAGGCCCAATGAGATGCCAGGGATCCAACCAAAGTCTCCTGCATCCAAGAAAAGCGCTTTATCCTCTAGTCTCATGTTTTAGTTTTTTCGGTCGAAAATGGGGACGTTCAAGAGCTATTTCTGGCTCTTTGTTCAAGAGACCCCTGGTAGTTTTCAGGAATCCTACATGCTGCGAAAATCCCAACCTTTCAGCAGCATGCATCCCAAGTACCTGACTTCCTGTACTCCGCCACCCAGACTTCCCTCCGAGCTTTTCTGAGCCCATCTCCTCCCACACCCAATGCCTAGACAGGTCGCTCCGTATCCTCCTCTCTCGACCCGCTAGAACCGGGTAGCTCGAAAGCAGCGGTGCACAGCTCTCACCGGCCTTCAGCGAACGCAAGGCTTCGCGCCGCTGGGCTTCCATGAGCGCCCGGTAGTCCCCAAAGAGGGAGCGCATCAGCTGCCTCTTGCGGGGCAACGGGGTCCTTCCGCTGCGGAGGGTTCGGATCGCGGCGGCAGCCTGCTCCTCTGTGGACGAGAACAGGGTCTAGTCGCGCCCCCTCCCCCGGGTTCCCCCGTCCCGGGACGGGCGCAAAGGCATCCGTCCGGCGGCAGGGCCAGTCACAGACCGCCACCGCGCGCTCCACCTCCGGGAGGGCCCTCACTCTGCTTCGGGCTGGGTCTCTGCGTGCTCAGTCCCAGCTCCAGCTGCTCCACGCACCAGGCCAGTTCCCGGGCCAGCTGCTCGGCCTAGACGGAACGGAAGAGACTGAGAGAGGACCTGCGGACCCCGCGGTTCCGGCCCGGCCCGCGGGGACACCAGATGCCTCCGTCCCATCTCCACCCGTCCCGCCGCGGTCGCAGCGCAGAGCCCGGCCGGAGCCGCCCGCCGCCTGCCGCCCTTGCCTGCTCCTCCGCGCTGAGGGGGGCTTCCTCCGGGCTCCGCTCCCCCGAGCCCTGCTCGCCCCCCTGCGGCCCCGAGGCCTCTTTCCGAGCCTTCTTCTTCTTCTTCTTGACCGTAGCCTCGCCCGCCCCGGCCATGGGGTGTGCCCGGTGGCCCTGTCACTACAGGGGGTGACCGAGGCAGAGGAGACTTCACGTGGGACGCAGCGGGAGGGTGCAGTGACCGGACTCGCGGGCGGCGCGGCGGTGCCTCCTGAGCACTGTGTCCTGAGGTCTGGAGCAAGGGGCCGGCAAGGGGGTGGCGGGGACCCCAAATGCCCCAGCGCCCCTATCCGCGCAGCCCCACCGCACTGCTCGCCACCACGCGCGCAGCTCCCGCCGCTCGCGAGAGGGACCCGACCCCCGTCCCACCTGACTCCGCCGGAAGCACGTCAGCAGCGCTGGTGTTCCGAAGGGCGGGGCGGGGCTTCCGGGGGCGGGGCTTTTCAGGAGGGCGGTGCGTGCTCCGGGGCGGGGCTTCCTGGAGGGCGGTGGTCGGAGCGGGGCGTTTTGTAGGATAGGGCAGCCGAGGGGCGTTCCGGGAGGGCGGGACTTATTAGGGGCGGGGCGGGGTCGGAGGGGCGGGGGCAGTGAGAGACGGCCCGGAAGCAAGCACCAGGATGGGAGCTGATAGGCTCGAGGATGTGCGGGGTTGGGAGAACCAGGGGGACGTGGGGCGGGGCTTGCGGACTGAACGGTGGCCGGGTGAACTGGGCGGGGCGAGCCTTTGGACTAGGGGACGTGGGATGCTGCTCACCTTTGAGGGGAGCTGTGCGGGTGGGGAGCGCTATGCCTGTATTTGGGGGCAGAATAGACCTGTAAGCGGGTTGTGGCAGGTCTGGCTGTAGCGTGCAGATGGGGCGTATTGGGCCGGTGGAGAGCAGTGAGGGGCCTGGGGGCGTGGACCAGGAGCATTGATCGTCCTAGCTTTTTTGGGGGTGTTTTTTGTTTTTTATTTTTTGCTTTTTGGGTCACACCTGGGGATGCACAGGGGTTATTCCTGGCTCTGCACTCAGGAATTACTCTTGGCGGTGCTTGGGGGACCATATGGGATGCTTGGAATCGAACGGGGTTGGCCGTATGCGAGGCAAACGCTCTACCCACTGTGCTGTCACCCCAGCCCCGATCATCTAGCTTTGTTCAGGGACACTCTTGGCTCTGTGCTGGGAGACTCTCCTGATGGTCTCAGTGGATCGTGCTGTGCAGGGATAAAGCTCCCAACTCCCACATGCAAGCATGAGCTCAGCCCTTTAAGCTATCTCTCTGGCCCCAAAAAGGATTTATATATTCATCCCTGAAAGATCCACTAAGAGCACAGATACAACTCCAACCTCTGCAATAATACTAGTGGCAGTAATGATTTTTTAAAAATGTTCCTGCTGCTCAGATTAGTGTCACAGCATTTCAGTAGGAACTCATTTAATTCTCAAAGTAGTCCTGGGTGGTAATAGTTAACTGATATAGACACCAAGCAAGAGATTAGAAGTGTGACTGCCAGGGGTAACATACAAACGTCTCAGGAGACCTTAACCTCTAAACAGGATGCCTGGGGCTGGGGTGATAGAACAGCAGGTAAGGCGTTTGCCTTGCATGCAGTTCACCCAGGTTTGATCCCCAGCATTCCAGATGGTCTCCCGAGCACTGCCAGCAGTAATTCCTGAGTGCAGAACCAGGAGTAACCCCTGAGCATCTCCAGGTATAACCCAAAGCAAAGAAATAGAGTGTTTTGATAGTTTAAGCAGAAACTTACATATGTGATGAGGTGATCCAAAATTAGCAGAAAAGCAATGGTTGCTAAAAGATACCAGGGAAGCAGGGTGAGGCGTTCTCAGGCTAAAATGCCCTGGACTCAATCTACATAGATATCATATATTGTTCTCTCCAGCTTCCAGTAAGAGGAAATTTTAGACCTCAATTAACTCATCAAAGCTAACCACTTAACGCCTGACTTCTGTATTGAAATTGTGCTCCTATTCTTCAGCTAATGAGAAAGTTGGTTGATGTAGCCAAGCAGAATATAGTAGAGTGTAGTTATCTTGTAACTATGGGCACCCCAGGAACAAGGAGATGATCTGTTGGTCTTTGGCAGTGGATGCTCAAAGACTCACATGCAGCAATGGTCAAGACAAAGCCACCTACATGGGCCATAGATTCATAGTCAATATAACAAAGTTTATTAGGAAGAGTAAGGATTAAATAGAAGCTGAAGGGATGTGCCTATGTGCACTAACGAGAAGGTGGTGAGGAGAGGTTACGACTAGAAAGAAGCTTCTGGAGCACTGTCCTTGTGCTCTAAGGCAGAGGCAAGGTTGAAATATTGCTGACACCCAAAGATGTCTGTTTCCCACGTCTCAAGACTTTGGCCTCTGGCAAAACAAAGCCAATTAATTTATGCTACTCTTAGAAATGTATTCCCCTTGCAATAGTAGGGTTCCTAGAGAAGTTGGGACCCAGGGCACTCCTTACATGCCCAGCAACCTCTAGTGGTCAAGGGATCGTACCAGGGAAATCTCCAACAGTCGAGAATGGTTAAAACTTTGCCTGGACTCAGATTCAGGGCTGTTCAGTACTCTGAGACCCTTGCTCTCAGGCTGAGCATCCCCTGCAGGTTAATAAAGGATCTTCATTAAGCAAACAAGCTTGTTAGAGACTTTCTGGAACTTTTTGGAAAATTTTCAGTCCATAACAAAGACTGAGGGGCCAGGGCCATAATAACAGGTAGGGCACTTGCTTTGCATACAGCTGACCCAGGTTCAATCCCCAGCATCCCATATGGTCTCCTGAGTGCTGCCAAGTCTGAAAGTGAGGATGCGAGGCCTGATTTCCCCTGCCCTGTGAGCCCCCCAGGCCTCTCAGAAATGATGTCCCTCAGATTGGTGAACTGGGTTGGGGAGGACTAGAGGTGAAAATCAGAACCGCTGGGGCTGGAGCAATAGCACAGCGGGTAGGGCATTTGCCTTGCACGCGGCCAACCCAGGTTCGATTCCCAGCATCCCATATGGTCCCCTGAGCACTGCCAGGGCTGATTCCTGAGAGCAGAGCCAGGAGTAACCCCTGTGTGTCGCCAGGTGTGACCCAAAAAGCAAAATAAAATAAAATAAAATAAATCAGACCCGCGAGAGCCTGGCTTGAATAGTAGAGCCTTACTTTGCAAAGAAGCCACACATTTTTTCCTGCCTATGCATTTATGGTAACAAAGAGATAAGAGCACTTGACGTCCATTACTTGCTCTCTATAATCAAGCAGCAAACATTTCTTCAGTTGCTTCTTCAGTTTCCGTGTTATTCTTTGGGAGGGGGATTCTCACCTGACTATGTTCAAGGGCTATTCCTGGTTTGGTGCTGGGAGTCTCTGCCTAGAAGTGTTTGAGGAACTACATGGTACTTGTGATCAAAACTGACCTCCGGAGTGTGGGACCAATAGCATAGTGGGTGAAGCATTTGCCTTGCATGCATTCAACCTGGGTTTGATCCCTTGCATCCAATATGGTTTCCCAAACACTGCCAGGAGTAATTTCTGAGCACAGAGCCAAAAGTAATCCCTGACCCCTCCTGAATATCACTGAGTGTGCCTCCTCCCCCAAAAAGAAAAAAAACTGGGTCTCCCACATGGAAAATATGTGCCCCAGCCTTTGAGTTATATCCCAGTCTTACTGTTGCTTATTTTAAAAAATGATGCTATTCAAATCCAAATACAAGAGTTTTGTGGATTGATCCTTATTGACATTTCAGTGGGTCTACACAAAAGAGCCCAACATAGATCTATGCAGCATTCTCTGGATTCTGCTGCCTGAGGATATGGCGTCATTTTTCTCAGAGTCCTTTAGGATCAATATTGGCTCCCAAGGTTACCCTGATATGAAGAAGAGGCTTGGCTCAGAGATACCTCAGATGGCAAGGACAGGGTCATCCCTGTTCTCTAGGTATCCTGGATCCCTTAATGAGACAATCCACAATCCAAAATCCTAGTGTTGGGTGTTTTGCTCTGTAACCCATACTAGCAAGAAGTTCTGTAAAGAGTTTTGTTTGCTTTGTTTTGTTGGCAGTGCCAGCAATCAAACTCAGGGCTTTACACCTCCAAGGCAATTACTCTACTTCTGAGTCGCATCCTTGCTCTGGTTCTGTGATCTGTTGATGGAATCCCTAGTCTGCACCTGACTCCATGCCTTGTAAACCCACTTTCATAGTTGATGTTTCCATTTTGTATGAAAATTCCCATTCAGGATAGTTCTCTTCTAAAATTGGTTAAGAAAAGTAGGACTCTCCTTTTCCCATAGAGCAGGAGGGACCTGAACCTGCCCAGCCTGTGTTTTGGATCAGTGAGACCTCCACAACTATCAAGGTTAGGGCTACAACAAGTAGTTTGTGGTAAAGAGACACCAGTTGTCTATAATTACTGATTGTGGCTATACCTTTCCTGATTACTTCCTCATATTTTCCTTTTATCTCCTTTTAACATTCACGAATCACGACCATCCTGTTATTCGTTGATTGCTTCGAGCAGGCCCCAGTAACGTCTCCTTCATCTTAGCCCTGAGATTTTTAACAAAGTGCTATATTCAAGGCTCTTTAGGAGAATGAGATCCATCATTGTTACTGGTATTTGGTATATTGGGTACGCCACGGGGAGTTTGCCAGACTCTGCTGTGTGGGCAGGTTACATTCGGTAGCCTGCCAGTTTGTCCAAAGTAGGAATGAGATAATAAGATGTCATAATAAGATGTCCGCATTCGCGGCTGTGCAGTTCCGCGAGCTGGGTTTTAAAGTCTCTGAGTCTTGGCCGTTGATGGGATTACACGGCGCCAGGGGGCCAGTTGGTGGGTGTGACCCCCTTTTAACATTAGTATATATAAATACATATGTCACATAGATCTGTATGTATGTATGTACATGATTTTTAAAAAAAATCTCAACCATTTAAGAGAAATTTTCAGGGACTGGAGATATAGTACTGTGGTAGAGCACTTGCCTTGCACAAGGCCTTCCCAGGTATAATCCCTGGAATCCAAAATGGTTTCCCAGCATCACCAGGAGTAATTTCAGAATGAAAACCCAGTACTAACCCCTGAGGATCATCGACTGTGATCCCCCCCCAAAAAAAATTGCATTCTTTATAAGTGTGCCATTCATTTCTGTACATTTCTGTTCCATGGATAGTTCATGAAATATATGTTAGCTACTAAGCAATGTGAGCCCTTTTTTCCATTTTGGGGCCACATCCTGTTGGGGTCTCAGCAGCCAGCCTGAGACCCTGGCCAAATCCCCTGTTCTTGTAAACAGGAGCTGTCTGTGTTCACAGGGGCCCAGGGTCTTGTGCTGGCCCTCCACCCAGAAACTCTGGTTGAGAGGATA